TCTGACTCATAGCGATCTTATGCATGACAGAACGAAATACTGCCTGGTCCTGTGGAATCTTCAAATTGTTATTATGTTTACACCCACTACTGTCATTGTGCCAATCCATCTCATTGGGGGGCCTTCCTCTTTTTCGCTGACCCTCCACTTTACCAAGCATATGCTAAGTAACAGTGATTAAACAAGGACAAGAAAAGGAATGAATGGTTTTCCAAACTACCAATACTATCAGGAGGGACCAGTTCCTACAGAAGGGTTTCATGTTTGGTAAAGTGGAGGGTCAGAGAAAAAGATAAGACCTGCCAACGAGCTGGACTAGCACAGAGTTAGCAGCAATGATTGTGACGTTGTCCTGGGACCAGACAGTGTTTAAGTCTGTTGTGCACAGGACCACTGTTGAGTCCTATTCTCAGTAAACAAACTCCGTAAATCCAAGATGTATCTAAAAAGGATTGAGCTTTGATGCATGCAACAAAAAAACCTAACTCTAGAGACAATTTAAAAGCATTTATAAACTGTTCTAATATTTAATGATAACAATTTTAAGTAAGTTCTCATACATGCCAGGCCCTGTTCTAAGAGGTTCTGGGAGATTGGTAACTCTATTGTATAAGCACTGGACTGTGAACCACAGGGTCCAGCGGTTCAAACCCACCAGCCACTCTTCGAGAAAAAGAGGCTTTCTGCTCCCGCAAAGATGTATAGTCTGGAAAACCCTATACGGGGTCTCTAAGAGTCAGAACCAACTCAAGGGGACTTAACAAGCTCTAAGAGCTTTACTTATATTATCTCATTTAACTTTCACCACAATGTCCACTTTACAAAGGAGTAAATTAAGTAGACAGGATTTAAATAACTTGTCTATATCACAGCAGAACCAGAATTCAAACTCTGAAAGTCTGACTCCATTACACTACACTATTTTCCTATCCACTATTTCCATTTCTAACTGGTAGTACAAGTGTCAAACATCTGGAATAAAGAGAAGATAAAATCAAAGTCACAATTTCTTCAACCTCTAAATATCTGCTCCCCCCCCCCTTTTTTTCCCCAAAACTGAGAATACTCTAGCATCAGATAGCAGGCAAAACTTACCTGTTGTGCACAAAGTTTCAAATAGAAGGTATGAAAACAAACTATATTATCCTATCAACAGGGTTCAGCAAACCATGGTCTGTGGGCCTAATATAGCCCTCATTCTTGTATCTTGAGTTACAATGGTTTTACTTTTTAAAAAGGATTACAAAAGCAAAACAAAAATGTCTGATATATTTTATGTAGTCAGTCTAAAATATTTACTCTCTGGCCCTTTACAAAAACAATTGGCTAATATAAGTTATTGGTTTCCCACGTTAAAAAAAAAGAGCTAAAAACAATAACTGACTTGTAAGACACAAAGTATATAGAAGAGGATAAAATGAATAGAGATTCCCACAGCTCCAAACCAGAACACAAACTGCTAAAGCAAACCCCCACCCCCAAAAAAGGGCAAAAATAAGTAGTTCCCTCTCACCACGAGGTGGCAGTAGATTCTTCAAGAGACAAGGTTCTGGTTTGCCCACCGGCTCAAGTTTTTTTGTGGTAGCTATTAAGAAAAGCAGCTTGACCTCTCCTCAGAGCTGACTTTCTGGGACTGACAATCTGCACAAAAAGGAAATGGGAAAGGAGACTGAACAGGTGACAAGAACGTTATAACCACATCCTCTTTGGCGACCTGTTCACTCCTAGCTACAAAAATAACACTGTTAAAAAAATAAAATAAAAATAACACTGTTTCCTATACTCTTCTGGGTTACCAGGTTAGGCGTGGGAGATAAGAGGTCGATGAAAAGGATCAATTTCGCAGAAGAGTATTTCATATTCTCAAGGACTCTACGCTTTCTGGAGCCATGGAGGGTACATGAACCCTTGCAAACTAGTGCCCTGAAATAAGATTTAAACTTTAAACCAAAAATAGCCCCTGAAGTCATCTTAACACCTAACAACAGTTTAACTAGTTAAAAAGATCAGCCTTGAGCACAATGCTCTTTTAAGATCTATACAGAATCAAATTGATAAAAGTAACTTGAAAGATTAGATAGAAACTTAGAGGCAGTGAGTTTATATTAATGAGAAACAACTCAGAAAAAGGTGAGACTCGACTGTAATCAACATCACTAAACTATTCAAGTAGAAACTGTTGAATTGCAACATGTAATCTCAAAAAAAACCAGTCAACTTAAATGATTCAAAACTGCTCTTCACTTTTGTGTCTACAGTTCTTAAGTTACTACCCTTCAGTTTAGTTGGCAAAGACAATGGATTTCATTTTCACAACTTCAAGGAAAATGTAATGAAGAGGGGGGGAAAAAAGCTAAACTTTACGTATTTTCTCCCTGCATCCCTTCCCCCCTTCAAAAAAAAAAAAAAACACCAGTTAAGTCAATTGCTACTCATGAATCCTACAAGTCAGACAAAGCCTGACTGAGTTTTCGAAGCTGTAAACCTTTATGTAATCAGACTGCCTCATCTTTCTCCCAGAGGGGCTGGTGGGTTCAAACTACAGACCTTTCGGACAGCAGTCCAATACTTAACCTACTGCACCACCAGGGTACTTCCCAGCAGAGCTAAACCAGAAGTCAAAACAGGAAATGATAAGTCAACTGAACACATGCAAAAGTAGTAGGTACTGCTTACTAAACCAGCTAACTGGCCCGACATGTAATGGCAAACAGCCATTCAAGAACAGTGCCAGACCTCATTCTTGTTCCCACCCTCTACTACACAACAAAAACCTTCACTTTTGCCCTGAAATCCTTGCATATTTAAATATCGGTATAAAACATGCTATGTCATGAAGTTCCTTGCTGTTCATGATGACTCAGCATCTGCTGCAAAAAACACCCTACTGCCAGCTTAGGGTACAAGACAGCAAGCAGGTAGCCCACTAAAGTTCCAATTGTTGTTGTTGTTGTTGTTAAGTGCCATTGAGTCGGGTCCGACCCATAGCGACCCTGTACAGGGTTTCCGAGGGTGTAAATCTTTACGGGAGTAGAAAGCCTCATCTTTCTCCCGCGGAGCGGCTGGTAGTTTCGAACACCAACAGGAAAACACCCTCTATATAGCTTAACACGTTTCTTTGGTAGTTTCTGCCAATACTAATACTGACTTGTTCATTAAGAACCCCCCCAAACATCTTCAATCGAAAGCTAAAAATATATCTTTTAAGTAAATTAAACAGCTGGGGCAAGAAGCTTCAAGTATTACAAGCAGGGAACAATAATAATTTATGAAAATCTAAAACTTAAAAAAAATAATAATAATAATACAACCTGAGATCAAATCGATTCTAAGACAATTTGGATCACAGACATTATGTTGTTAAGGCATTACCTGCCCTAAATTAACTTTTATCTAACTAAATTTCAAAATAAACTGTATTATAACTTGGGGCACCTGGAATACATTAACTCCCTTCCAACTGTCCAGTCCATTTACTGATCTGTATTCAAAACATTTTTCTATAGGTAATTTTCTTTTATGTCTCTTTCATTCCATATAAAGAGGTTAAATATCAGGTTTGTGACTTGAATTCGAATCTTAAATCTTCCTGAGAAGTACCCTTGGTTCCTCACAAAATTCGTAAACCAAGCACTTTCTGTATATAGAGGGGAGTGGAGGTGGGGGGACACACGCAGGAGCAAGTCTTCTATCAGTAGAGAACTACTTGTATATAATGCATATTTTTGTACATCCGTAAGTTTCCCTTAAATCGGTACTTTTAAAGTCAATTTTTAATGATACAATTTAACACCAATAAATAACACATTAAAGTGTTCAATACTCATTATCATGTAAAACAAGGCAATCTAGAAGTTCACCTTTGACAGTATGCAACAAGTTATCTACTGCACCTTTTTGCTATACTTGAATTTGTTTTTTTAAAAACAAACTTAAGACACACACTTCCCACCAATGTCACTGAGTTTTAGAAATGGCTTTACGAAAATAAGTTAATGTTTTCCCGCTCTGCCGCCCATCAACAAATAGCATTTAAACACGAAATTTTCTGAGAGTCGGATGTCTTATTTATAATTAGGCTAAACACCTTTTTATAACTTTTTAACAGCTACGAATGTACACGGTGGTTAACTTATAAGACCACAAACATTCCTGGAGTGTCAGAAGTCGCTAAAGTTTTAGAAAACGCCCCATAATATTAAAACATTTTAAGCATGAGGTCAGAACTGGAATCCTGGACAACTGGAGAATGGCCAAACCTAGCCTCCAAAATAAAAGGAGGGAAGGGGGAAAAAAAAAAAAACAGGTAGGGAGGAAAGAGCTGCGCAGCGAGGCAAAGACGTAAGGGTGAAGAGGGACTTTCAAAATGACCCAGAGCCACAGTGACTATAAAGCCGGTTACGAAAAAATGGTTTAAGTCAATGCTCTCAGATTGGGAAGGGCAAGGGCGAAGGAGACGGAAGATTAATTAATCAGTTGAGACTCAATTCTTCCCTGTTCCGTCACAGCGCCCCCCGCCTAGTCCCCTGTCTCCCGTGAGCCCCGGAGGCAGATTCCTCCTGGCAGCCCCCTCCCCACACTGAACCGCGGGAGACTAGAAAATGCACTTCACGCTTAGATCCGGCCGCTTCTTTGCCTTTCTCCCTCGACGCATAATAAAAACCTCCAAATCCCCAATCCCCGCCAAAAAAAAAAAGAAAGAAAGAAAGAAACGCGCGCACCGTGGGCCTAGAATTTCTTTTCCCGCCCAGAGCCTGCCGGGGAAGCCCCTGGCCCTGAGGCTTGGGCAGAGGCGGCCCGAGTCACACGTGTGCGCCGCACGGCCCGGCCTGTCTCAGCCCACTTCCCGTCGCCACCCTAGAGGCCTGAGCTCCCGCCGTCCCGATCGGGCCTTCCTCTGGCCCTCCCACCCGATCCACGTGTGGCGGGAGTGCGGGGGCTCAGGCCACCCTCGACTTGTTTCCGACCCGCTAGGCCCCCGCGGCGTCGGGGTCCCATACCTGGTGCTGTTGTCGTCCCTGCGCATAAGGCTTAATTGGCCCCTGGTGGCAACGCCGCGTCCGGATCTTGCCGCCGCCGCCGCCGCCCCCTCCTATTCCTCCGGCTCCCGAGGCCATGGCGGAGCCTCCGCTGATTCCCGCTCCGGGGCGGGGAAGGGGGGCGGGAGAGGCAGAGGCGATGGCCTTAGAGCCCCCCCCGCCCGGTCCCGGCCCAAAAGTCCGCCCGCGTTGCCCACACAGTGGGACACAGGCACACCGGGACCGCGAGATTGAGAGCAGGAGCGGAGAGAGGGTGCGCGATGGCAGAGGGGGTGGCGGGGGCAGAGGCCGAGGAGCTGGCTCCGGTCCGGCAGCCTCCCGCGGACCCCCGCCTCTGTGTATGTCACGGTCTCTATGGAGATCTCTCGTAGAGGACACTGCGAGCGGCTCCGGCCGCTGCTGAGGCCTAACCCGACCACCGGCTGGTAGGGACTCTTCTTCCGTCGCTCTAGCAGTCGCTGCCGCAGCTGAAGCCGCCGGCGCCGCCCGCCTACCCCTCCCCTTTGCGCACAGCGCCCGCCCAGCCGTCGTCGTCCCTGCAGTCGCCGCCGCTGTTGCGCCTATTGCCGCTGCTAAGGCCGCCGCGGTCGCGAGCCAGAGTGACGTCAGTCCTCGGCGCCGGACGCGAGTACATCATCTCACTGCGACCAGTTGAAAGTCGAGAAGGAAGGAAAAGCTGTACGAGCCCGCGCTCTCGGCCGCGCAGTGAACTGGGAAACGTAGTTCAGCCGGAGAAGGCGGGGTCTAGGAAAGGAAGGCAGGAGGGAGGTTCACGGTGCACCGCAGAGGCACAAAGCGAGTGGTTCCGTTCATTTTTTTTGCCCTTTAAAGTTAGGCTCTGAAGAAGCGTTTAACATTAAAAGTCATTTTCCCACTCTATTTCTCCCCACCTGGCAATAACTAAGCACAGGGTGAAATCAAACAATAGAAGCTAAATGATAACGTACTAACAAGAAAAAAAAAAAAAAAAATCCTATGGTTAAAAAAGTAATCTCCATGATTCCTAGGCTGAAAGCAGAGTTCGAAAATTCATATAGCTTCATTAAGGTCCTATTAAACATTGTGGTCAAACATACTCCTCCACTCTTTAGCTGTTTGGCCTTGGAGGAGTCAAAACCTCTTGACCCTTGTTTTCCTTTACAAAATGTAACTTTTAAGATTCACGTTTTAGAGCTGATCTGATCAGCTGTATATTTAGTGTATTTCTGGTCACACAATAAATTCAATCAATGATATTATAACCTATACTGATCATGTTAAAAGTAAAAAATATATATTCAGTAATGAAAATGTATATATGTATGTTTCTAATCAAAGGCATTATACTCAGGAAAATGTATAATTGAACGCAGGCTCAAACTGAATGCGTAACTGTAGAAATTCTGTGAGTTGACGGTTAGAAAGGTTTAGAACGATCTTGGACCATTCTCTCAACGGACACCACAGACTTCCAAGAGAATTTAGGTGTCACGTTCAAGGACAGCGTTGGGCAGTCAAAGCTAAAATCCAAGTTTTCTATGAGAATTGAGACGAGTTGAAAGAAATTTTTGCCACTTTGAGAAAAAAAATTTTTTTGGCTTAATGTTCCATTTTGAGACAATTTATTTTAAAGCTTATAAGTAGTCTTGGGGAGTCCTGGTGTGGTGGTGCAGGATAATGTGCTGGACCGCAAGGTCAGTTTGAACCGCAAGATCGGCAGTTCAAACCCACCAGCCACTCCTCAGACACCTTATACAGGGTTGCTGTGAGTCAGAACCGACTTGGTGGCACTTAACAACAAGAAGTAGTAGTAGTTTGGGAGTCAAACAAACTTAGTTTCAAATCTATCATTACTAGCTGATGTGGCTAGCACTCTACTGTGAGCTACAAGGTCAGAAGTTCAAAGCTACCAGCTGCTCCTAGAAACCTTATACAGGACCACTATGAGTGAGAACCTGCTCAACAGCACTTAACAAGAACATAGTCTAGGGGGCGCTAGTGATCATCTCTAACATTAGTTTCCTCATGTGCAAATAGAATGAATTTTATGTATGTATAATGCCTACTTAACTGTACAGAAAACATTTCATATCAGTCTGATATAAATAATTAGCTCCAAGATTTTTATAGAATATCCACCACCTAACTACACAACTCAAGTCATGCTATAAATCACATAACTAAAACTGTGAAGCCAAATTTTTAGTAACCTTTGAACTATAGTATATTTTAGCACCTTAAGGGACTATACTGGACAGGCATAAGCTTGAAAAACAAATTGTTTTCAAGAAGCATCTCTGACCAGACCAGCAAAAATTCAAAAAGTTGCCAGATACAAAAAGCAAAATTGATCTACTTCCTCTTCTGCTTGGCTGTACTAGACCCATGCATGCCTTCCACCATCCCTAGCTCTCCACTAGAGTCTTAGAAATGCCTACTCAGTACCTCATCCTTCTGAAGTATATTGTTTCTGTCACATGCTTTCCCTTCCTAAACTGAAGTCCTGTTCTTTTTAAGTCTTAGGTAGTTATTTGACAATCAAGGTAAAGTAATTCTTGATTAACTTGTATAGAGAATCTCTACCCGAATCTCTTAATTGTTGTTGTTGTTAGGTAGGTACCATTGACTTGGTACCGACTCCTAATGACACTGTGTACAACAGAAAGAAACACTGCCTGGTCCTGTGCCAACCTCACAGTGGTTGCTAGGTTTGAGTCCATTGTTGCTGCCACTGTGCCAATCTGTCTCATTAGGGGTCTTTCTTTTTTTCTCCGACCCTCCACTTTACCAAACCTGATATCTTTCTCCAGTGACTGGTTCCTCCTGATAATATGTCCAAGGTATGAGAGACCAAGTCTGGCTATCCTGGCTTACAAGGAGGGCTCTGATTGTACTTCTTCCAACAGGGATCTGTTTGTTCTTTTGACAGTCCATGGTACTTTGAATATTTTCCTCCAACACCATAACTCAAAAATATCAATTCTTCTACGGTCTTTCTTATTCACTGTCCAACTTTCACATGCATATGAGGTTATAGAAAATACCATGGCTTGCATCAGGTGCATGTCCTCAAACTGACATCTTTGTTCTTCAACACTTTAAAAGGGTCTTGTGCAGCAGATTTGTCTAATACAGTATGTCGTTTGATTTCTTTAATTAGGAGACATACGTAGGAGATTAAACTGTAGCCACATCTCATTTTTCCTTGTCATCTACTAGATTTAAAATGTGCAGCACAAAGCTGTGAACTGGCTGGGGTTCAGAAGTGATGTTTTTCTTGAAAGCTGTTATTTGAGGTGTGGGACAGCTTTCACATTCCAGTTTTGAAAGCAAGGGTTGTGCAAAAGAACATGGTCAAACTTCAACCAAACCTCAGAATAGAAGATTGGTAGGATTTGAGGAGCTGTGGGAAAATCCAAGTTCCTCTTAATGGTTTGACCCATTTCACATTTCCTTAACTTTGATTTAAAACAATATGGAAGAGAAAGTAATACATTCGTCCCACATTCATAAGACTGGGTTTTAGGAAGCTTTACCAAGCAGCTTGAGAGCAGGTCAGAGTAAGGGATAGGAAGGAAGCTGTGTTCAAATCTTCTCACTGCTCAGTTTTACCCTAATATAGTATCAGTCTCACTATGAGAAGAGGTAACATCTCTTGCATGGTTTAGGATACTAAATAACATTGTTTCTGTATTGAAACAGTCTGGAGTTTCAATTCTCCACTTCACACATTTTGGAACTCATTCTTCAGTTAGAAATTACTAGTGATAGAATGGGTTATAGTAGAATATTTTTATTGTAAAACTGTAAGGAAAAGTATAACAAAGGAACTGTCTGCCTTCAAACAAACCAAAAGAAAAAAAAAATTTTTTTAACATTTCCACTGCTACAGTGGATTCTGACTCATAGCCACCCTAATTAGGGTTTCCACGGCTGGCAAATCTTTATGAGAGCAGAAAGTCTTACCTTGTGCTTAGCAGCCCAACCATAACCCAATATGCCACCAGGGTCTCTTGCCTTCAAACGAACACACATGCTTGAAGAGATGTTACATTTAAATTGGGAAAAAATGTCAAATGGCAAAGACCAATAATAGGGGTTCTTGAAATCCTTCCAACCATATAAAGAATTAACAGGCATTTGAAGAAGGGATAAGTATTATTTTGTTGTTGTTGTTGTTACTCGCCTTCAAGTGGGGTCCGACTCATAACAACCCACTATAGGGTTTCCAAGGAGCGACTGGTAGCTCTGAACCACCAACCTTGTGGTTAGCAGTCCAGTGCTTATCCTACAGTGCCACACCAAGACTCCAAGTATTACTTAGGATTTATAATTAAGTACATAGATGATGGGACTTAATCCCCCTTTTAAACAAAAAAGTGAAGAAATATTAGTATTTGTATTTCACAGAATCATAAGCTACTATTTCTGAATTTTGAATCAGAAACTAGCTGCCGCTTTCTCCAACCATTCTTTTTATTAACACCTATTCCTAGCAATCTTTCACCAGTAGCCAGTTGCTATCAGCCAATCCCAACTAATAACAACCCCATGTGTGTCAGAGTAGAACTGTGTTCCATAAAGTTTTCCATTTAATTTTTCAGAAGCAAATCACCAGGTTTTTTTTTCTAGGTACTTCTGGGCGGACTTAAATATCCTACCTTTTGGTTAGCAGCCAAGTACATTAACCAATGGTATCACCCAAGGATTCCTCATTAGTCTTTAGGCCAAGTCAAAATTAGGATGGCTTTAATGAGTAATCTTATTGGGGGGGTGGGGAGGTTCTTACATTGAGTACATTTTAATAGAAAGTTATCCCTGCCTAAATTTTAAGCTCCCCCTGAAAAAGTAATTTTCTCCCATAGCTATATCCAAAGGTTGGTGGTTAGTGTTTTAAGCACTTGGCTGCTAATGAAAGGTTGCTAGTTTGAACTCACCTACCAAATCCTGGTGTGGCACTATGGGTTAATATGTTAGACTGCAAAGTCATTTGAACTGAAAGGTCTGCAGTTCAAGCTCACCAGGGTCGCTATGGGTCAGAATCAACTTGATGGTACTTAGGCACTTAACAACAACAACAACAACAGCCGCTCTGTAGA